CCTTCCCAGAATCCACTCCTTAAGGACAGGCAGGTGGGCTACTCAGGGCATCCTAAAGTCTTCTGGCTCAAAGAACATAATGCAGTTTAGCTACAAACCCACCCCATTCCCACCTCTGCCCTCCTTTTTGTGATTTTAGCAGTTTGGGTTTATGGGAAACTCTCAGTTCCTCAATGTAGCCTGCCAAAGAATAAGATGTAATGGGATGTAATTGACTCCAAGGAGTCCTTGCATCTCTTGTCCCTTGCTGGGACCTGAATAAGTCTGTTGCCTTGGCTTTGTGGGCCGGGCCAGTATCTGTAGCCTTCTTGCCATTCGTGGAGCAAATGGTTGCAGGCAGTTGCAAGAGTCCAGTGCTCTGCTTGTCATGGGAAGCCTATTGACTTTAATCGTGACCATCTGGCTGGATGCCTCAGAAGAAGATGTCTCAGGGAAGGCTTATTTCACGAATTGACCTTTGTTTATTTCAAAGCCGCACTGCTGTTCCAACTTCAGCATTGCATTTTATGCGATGGGCACTGGAAGTACAAACGGAAGTTCTGCAAAAGGTGCTCCCCACGAAACTTACCAATCCATGTGTGATTGCCACTTTCTTTTCTTTTTATTTTTTTTTAAAGATTTTATTTATTTGAGAGAGATCGAGAGAGCATGAAAGGGGTGAGGGGCAGAGGGAGAAGCCAGCTCCCTGATGAGCAGAGGGCCTGATGTGGGACTTGATCCTGGGACTCCAGGATCATGACCTGAGCCGAAGGCAGTTGCTTAACCAACTGAGCCACCCAGGTGCCCCGATTGCCACTTTCAACACAGTCGGGACACATTGCCGTTCCCCTTTTACTGAAAACATATGGTGGGTACTTCAAGCAAACTCTAGGCCAAGTCATGGTGCCATTAAGGAGAGCAGGCATTAAAAATGGGAAAATGGTATCCAGGTGGCAGGAGGAATTCAGTAGGTGGGATGGGAAATATTTATTGTTAACGAGCTTTCATAAGGAGAACAGAAACAAGTTAGATGTGATTTGCAGGTCTATTGGCAGGCAGGATTTGCCTAGCAGACGGGAAACTTGGAGAGGATTCTCAGTACTCTACCTCACACTTGACCCGAGTCTGTCCACCCCACCCCACCCTTCCCTGGAACATGCTGAAGAAGTATTGAGCATTGCAAGTTTATTTAAAATAATATCTGCCAATGGTCAGTAAGTGCCACATTCCCGGCACCACACTAATGGCTTTTACTTACCTTCTCTCGCGTCATTCTGACAAAGATCGTGTGAGGTGGGAGATATTATCCCCATCTTCTGGATGAGAAAATCGAAACTTCGATATTAAGTTGATGGAGGTTGCATGGCTAGGAAGTCCCAGATCTGAGACTCAGTTCCAAGTCTCCCTTGACTTCCAGACCCTTGCTCTGTACTATTTGGAAGTTCAGCAAGAAGGGGGAGGCACTTGTAAATTTGACAACGGATCACAACTTCTCCCAGGGCAGGGCTTGGCGCACGTCTACTGTGTCTTCTCTGCAGCCAGCTGGGTCTGCCTAAGCAGCTCTGGCAATGGGAACACCTGGGTCTCCTTCACAGGAAGGTTTTTAATCTGTCCACACTGCTTCAGTCCCCAGTGGTGCAGTAAAGGAGAGGAAAGAAGAATAGAAGAGATGGCTTTGACACACCCACCGAGAGGCATCATCGGCATCCTCTTCCTCCCAGCCTCAGTGTCACAGAAGGACCGGATGGTCCCAGCGAGAGAGGGGAGGGGGTGGGAGGAAGCTGAAGACAGATTTCCATTTCTTCCAGTGTCACTTCCTTTCCTTTTGTCCTCTCTGAAGTCCATCACCTACCGGGTTTTAGGGTACAGCCAACTGAGGCTTCTTTTGGAGGCAGTGGAAGGGATCATGGGCAAAGTGTCAGAAGAGGGGACAGCAAGGCCAGCTTCACCATCTTTGAGGTGTGTGGGACTGTGGGCAAGTCCCATAACTGCAGCGTTTGGATCTGTATGGTGAACATCGTTATCCTTTCCCATTATGTGTTACTGGATCATTATAAAGATTAAATGGGGAGATATGTGTCAAAGTATTTCAAAAGCCTAAAGCTCCACATAAGTATAGGGGATTTTGAGAAACTTAAGAAAGGGTAGTCACAAAACTGACATTGTCCTTTAAAGATTTTATTTATTTATTTGGGAGAGAGAGAGAGAGATGGGGGAAGGGGCAGAGGGAAAGAGAGAGAATCTCCAGAAGACTCTGCACTGAGCATGGAGCCCGATGTGGGGCTTGATCTCACGACCCTGAGATCATGACCTGAGCTCACGATCTCCTCAAATCAGGAGTTTGAGGCTTATCCCACTGAGCCATCCAGGTGCCCCGACATTGTCCTTTATTTAAATTTTTTTTTTTAATTTATTTGACACAGAGAGAGAGAACACAAGCAGGGGGAGCTGCAGGCAAACGGAGACAGGGAGAAGCAGGCTCCCCACTGAGCAAAGAGTCTATGTGGGGCTCTATCCCAGGACCTTGAGATTATGGCCTGAGAGGAAGGCGGATGCCTAACCCATTGAGCCACCCAGTCCTCCCTGGCATTGTCCTTTTAATGAGAGGCAGTGGGTGCTGTCCTCTTCCCTTGGTGGGCAAGCTTCCTCGTCTTTAAAGCACATTTCCAGAGCAGAAGGAAGCCCAAGCACCACGTTTCTGATCTGAGAGCTAGTCTGAGATGTAAATGAACTCTGTCTCTCAAGACACAGCTTTGCATCTATTTTGCATTCTAATTTATTTATCTAGAGACAAAATCATGCGTTCTTTACTTCTACTCACAGCATATGCAAGCAGATCAAATGAGGTGCTGATCCAGCAAAATGGCAAGTAGCCTTTTGCTTCCTTGAAATTGCTAATTTTACAAATGGCACAGTGTTGAAACATGGCACGGAATATCTATTTTACTAGAATCTGGCAACACAGGCACATATGGTCTTGTCAAAAATGAATCAAACACAATTCCAGGATTATAATTAAGTAGTTGAAATTCCAAAAGGAATAAGTTAACGTGAACAAAGTCGGATTTAGATTGCTTTTTGCTAGCTTTCTCTCAGGCCCCTTCCTTGGCATACTGTTGGCAACATACTGACTTGCTCTGAGAGAAGTTGAATTGTCAAACATCAAACGTTTTCACACTGAATCTAAAGGTGCGTGATTTAACATCTATATTCCATGCTTTGGGGTACGATATGTCAAAAAATCTAAAAGGACCAAGATAGAAGTCAAGCCAAATGTCCCTATGTAAATATTTAGGTTAAAGCCTTTTCCTACTAAACAGAAACTTCTGATCAATTCCCTAGCAGACCTGCCGAGATAAAGAAAGAAGATGGGGCCGTTATAGAAGGAAACTCTCTCTCCCCCATCTCTCTCTCTCATCTCTCTTTCTCTCTCTCTCTCTCTCTCTCACACACACACACACATACTCATACACACAAAATTTCAGTCTCAAACTCTCTCTCTGAATACTCAGTCATGTACAATTCTTGCCTGGAAGACCAACGTCTAGCATAGGGCATGTGGAGAGAGTTGGAGATTTACAGGGATTCCCTTGGAGTTGTTGTGGACATGTTTTGGGTCCTGATTGAGAAGTCAGTATCTATACGATGAAAACAAATGTCAGCCCAAAGGTGGAAACAATCCAAATGTTCTTCAGCTGATGAGTGCATAAACAACCGAGAAACACACCTCCACACAATGGTGTATGATTCAGCGGTAAGAAAAAGAATGAAGGACTGATCCATACTACAGCATGGATGAACCTAGAAGATATGATACCGGAAACAAGGCAGACACAAAAGCCCACATATTCTATGATATCATTTATATGAAATGTCTAGAATAGGCAAATTCATGCACACAGGAAGCCAATCAGCAGTTACCAGGTAATAGGGGAAGGAGGGAGACTGGTTGATCAGCTAAAGAAGATGCAGTTTCCTTTTGGGGTGTTGAAAATGTTCCGAAATTGACTGGCTATAGTTACGCAACTGTGTGAATACACTAAAAACATTGGCTTGTTCACTTTGAATAGGTGCATGGTGTGGTATATGGATGGTATCATATCTCCATAGAGCTGTTACCAACAAAAGTTTCTCTCCAATGGTTTTTGTGTGAACTCCCCATTCAGAAGCTTGGGAGTCCCAGTTCAGATTCCTGACCCCATTGCTAGATTGTAGGATCTCCTGGTTCTTCATGGTCCAGCTTGCTTCTTCCCCAGCTTTAGTTCTATTATCCAGAACAAAAAAAAACCACTCTGGAAGAGAATGGATGCCGTGGTGGAAGAGGGGAGACAAAGACTTTGAGCTTCAAGTGGTGTCTACACAGAACCGCTGCTCCCACTTGGGTAGGCACTCTCCTGTCAAAATTGGCATCCAGTTATTCCCATCCTCCTGTTTTCCTGGGTCCTTGCCAAGCCCAGATCAGGTCACTTCCTTGTGAGATCTAAGTAACCTGGAGATTTTTCTTCCACAAGAGTGCAGAGATTTTATTAATGAAAGCTTCTACAGAACATTTTTTTAATGATTCATACAGGAAATTATAACTTTCATAAGAAAGGGGGGGTAGAATTTTTAACCCTGGTTTAGCATGACAAACTTGAGAATCGAGCTGTGCACTCCACTCACTAGCTCCTTTTCTTGCGTACTTAAAGAAAGGAAAAGAAAGACTTTCTTGCTGTTCGATCCCCAAGCTACTTCTGGTTTCTGACTTGAAAGGCAAGCAGTCCAAAGGGAGGAAATAGTATTTGGACACCTATAAGATAAAATATTATTATAAATTGGATAGTGATTCCTAACTATCGTTGATGAATATAAGTACCTTTTGTTAAAACCTTATCAGTGAACACATATTTCTAGGAAGATTATATTACAGTTGAAATTATGAATAGGGCACTAAAGGCCCATGCTGGAAAGCCAATATGTTCTTAATTCAACTAAAATATTTATTCAGTAAAGACTGACGGTGGTGTGAAGTATTTAAAATGATGGTGGAAACGAAAGCTTTGGACATAAGAGACCATGGTCTACTTAGAACATTTTTCCTGCTTTCTTCCATCTTGGGTCTCTGCGCCTTCCAGCCCTTCACAGAACTTCCAGTTAGCGCCATACTGGGACAGAGCATCCCAAGGTTCACAACCTCTGTGCCCTGTAGGAGCCACTATGAGGAGGGCCCAGGGAAGAACAGGCCATTTTCACTGGAAAACAAGTGGTGGTTACTAATTATGGTGACTGTGTACTTTGGATTTGGATTCGCTGCACCTTTTTTAATAATAAGACACCAACTGCTTAAAAAAAAAGGATGTTTTAATTAATCCATAAAACAGATGTGAAAAGGAGCATTTTAAGAGGTGCAGTCTCTTTTTAAAATGGATCTAACTCTTGAATTCAACATACCCGATATGTTTGTAAATAAACTTACTATATGAATCCTTAAAAAAAAAACAACACCCCATTTCCCTAAGGGGGTTCCCTGAATAGATTACCAAAAATGCTTAGATAATGACAAGTGGTAGTCACCATTCCGCTGTCATTGCACTTAAATATATCTTAACATATGATTTGCTTTGAAGAGGGTTTAAAAAAAAATTCAAACAAATTCAAAGAAATCAATTATACATTATGAAGTTTATTCTCAGCCACTCGATCAAAGCCCTTGGGTACCCAAAGTGGTGGTATTTTTAGAGATATGTGTCTATTTTCTTAATTCATTTGTGGCTGAAAAGAATGATTCTGCTAACAGCATGAAAAAGAGCCAAATATTGACTCCAGAGATTATGCAGGGTGCCCTATAATTAGTTTTATGACCAAAAAGAAAAGAATGCCTTGGATGATTGACAGGATGGATTGAATGAATGAATGAATGAATGAACAAACAGATGTGTAAATATCATCCATTCATTCAGAAATACATCCGAGAGCGTCATTTCAGTGGTGATGAGTGCTCTGGCGATGAGCGCCTCGTAGGGACAAGCCAGGCTCGGGAGAGGGTCCGGGTAGAGGCAATATGTGACTCCAAAAAGGGAAGGCAAAGGGAATAAGAAAAGTATCAGCAAGAAAGGCAGGAAGCCGAGAGAGTGAAGAAGAGAATGATAAGGATTAAGGCGCAGCTGTGAGGAAGGCGGGGCTGCAGGGCAGAGAATCAGCTAGCCGGCGTGGATGGGGGACAGCTGGTGACTCCTGAGAAAGTCTGAAGTCCTAAACCTTTGTAATCTGGAAAACTTGGTTAACCACAGTGACTCATTCCCCAGTTATGCCACAAATCCAGGATTTTACTGGAAAAGCAAGCAGACTGGCCCAGGACATTCTCAACTCCTGCTGCTGTTTCCACTTCGACATCTGACAGAGGTTCTACATGACATAAACAAAGCACAGTCCTTGACTTAAGAATTATTTAGGACGGCTTTCGTTTTGCAGCTAAAACCAGTATCGAGAGTTAAACTTTACAAATTTATGCCCATATGCCGGTCACTGTCCTAAGGGTTTGTATTAACTCACCTAATCCTCAGAATGACGCCAGGAAGTAGAAACCATTGTCATTCCATCTTACAGATGAGGAACTGACTGAGGCCCAGAGAGGTTCGGCGACTTGCCTCTGGTCACACAGCTCAGAAGTCTTGCCATAGACCTTGGGCATAATCACTGGTCTGTATTTCTAGACGTCTGCGTGCAGTTCCAGGAATGGAACCCAGGTCTCCTGGCTCCCAGTTCCCTGTCTTTTCTCCTATGCTAACCAGAACTCTGTGGTGCCCCCTCCGTGGAGCATCGATGGACCAGATAACATTACAGTCCCACAGTGACCACTAGTATGAAAACAAACTCTTCGCTCTCCCTGTCTCTTTTTGAATGGTTCTACCTTTGGGAGGGGGTCAACCCAACCTACCCCCCCACCACTGGGGCTGGGCTGCCCAGAACAATCCCTCCAATTGGCATTGCCGATTGGACAGTGAATTATTCAGAGCTGGCAGAAGCTGTCTCTACCCCTTCATTTTTATTCCGCGCTCACTTCCGAAGCCAACCTCCAAGTGTCCAGCCCTGTTAATGTGGCTCTTTGTAAGTGATTTAAAGGTACATGGCTCGCATTAGAGGGTGATGTGCTGAACAGGAGACCAAGGTATGAAAAACAATGCCACGGAGTGGATCTCAAGGGCGTTGAGTAAACCTGCTGTCAGGATTTTCAGAGAAGATTTGATTGGGAAGAAAAACACATCTTTGCTTCATCATTTCGAAGCAATTTCATGCTTCAGTTCTCTATACTTCTGTCTTCTGAACACTTCCGAGGGCCACACTTGGGCCTCAGCATCAGCCTGAAGTCTTGTACGATGGAGTCGCGGTGCAAGGGCTCTCTGGGCGTGATGTAGAGAGCCGCATGGGAGTGCTTGCTTTTGATACAACATTTAATCATTTTCTTCTGCCTCAATTAAGTTGAAAAGACTCAAATGCAGCTTAAAATCAAAAAGCGTAGCTGAATGAGGTTTATATCAGATATTGAAAAGCTAAGATGTTCCCCTTCTGAACGCAGCCAGGGAGGAGGTGGAATGGGGGTGGAAAGGACAGAAACCGCAGAGCCTTCCCAAGGGGAGTGTCTGGTGCTTGGTGGGTGGCTGAGTCTGTTATGTCAACATTTCAAATGCCATGTGGTCATTTCTTTAGGACCTTGTTTTATGATCTTTGTGGTTGTTTCTCTGCCCACCCCCCAGCTTTATTGAGATATAATTGACATATAACATTGCGTGAGTTTAAGCTGTTTAACCTGATGATTTAATACACATATACAGTGAAATGATTAGTGTGATAAGGTTAGTTAACACATCTGTCAACTTGCATAGTTAAAGTGTGTGTGTGTATGTGTGTTGAGAACATTTAAGATCTACTCTTTCCAGGATACAATATAGTATTGCAAACTATAGCCACCTTGCTCTGTGTACATTATGGCTCCAGAACTCATTCATCCTGTAACCGGAAGTTGGTAGCCTTCAACCAGGATCTTGCCATTTCCCACTTTCCTAGCCCCTGGCAACCATCTTTCCTATCTCTGTTTCTCTGTGAGTTTCGCTTTTTCTGATGCCACACATTAGTGAGACCGGACAGTGTTTGTCTTTCTTTGTCTGACTTATCTCTGTGAGCAGAATGCCCTCAAGGTCTAACCATGTTGCAAATGGTGGGATTTTGTGGGATTGTTTCTTGGTGTGATGCCAGCCTGAGCAAATGTGGTTTCCTTCAGTGGTGTGGTTGGCGCCTGCTGCGGGAGTGGAGAAAGGGTCCTCTTGGTTCTCCCACACGCACTGTGTCCTAGACTCCGTGCTTGGGTGTCACACATAGATCGGAACAGGGCTCCCTGCTCTATATGCACATCAGCATCTCCCGGGGAGCTTTTCCAAAAGTGCTCAGACTCATGCCCCATCTCGTAAGATTCGGATTCATTTGGTCGAGGGTGGGGGTCTGGGCATTTATAATTTTCAAAGCTCCCCAGGTGATTCCAAGGGGCAGCCCATGTGGGGAATCTCTGACTTAGAGGGTCTCATTGAATTTGGGGGAACTTTTCCTGCTCTGCTTCACTCACCCTTTTGACCTTTGGGGGAGAGTCCCATTCTTCATTGTGACAGGGGTGAGAAGTGTGTCTGGTGGCCTCAATCCTCAGAATACATGAGCCAAATCCCTTCGGAACCTTCGACCAGTGGTTTGGATGGCCTCCATTTCATGCCTCTGTTTCCGGCTGGTATTTCCAGCTTTGCCAAAGCCCATTTTTGGTAACCTTGCCTTCTGCACACCTTAAGAGAGATTGTTTGCCTTTGTAACTTATCAGTGTGGAAGGATTTTTAGGAAGCCCCAAGGAAAGAAACCTTCATCTTCCTTCCATTCAAGGCTTCATTCCCGGGACGCTCTGAGACAATGCAGGCCTTTTTCTGCTCTCCCTGGCCAGCCTTCCTGGAGAGGATTTCTGAAGGCAGAGCTCGTGGGGCCTGAGGGGGGTGTTCCTGGAGCGGCAATTCCAGACCGAAATTCCCTGGCTCGGAGTCTCCCTGGGAAGCCCCTGCGGAGGCCCAGGTGTGCACCGAGGTGAAAGAAACCTATTGTGGAGGGATTGTGCTCTGCCAGGGACCTCAGGGCCCGGTCGGGGGCAGTGAGGGAGGAGACAAAGGGGAAAGCATCTCCGTCTGCTTCGGGTGGCCGTGAATGACGTTGGCAAACAAGGTCTGGGGCTGCAGAAGGAGACAGCGCACGTCTGTGCAGGTTTCAGGGTCCTGACAAAGTGAAAATTTCAAGAGAGATTTACAGACACGCTCCCCGCCCACCATAGACGTCTCTGTCACGACTGTGAGTTTGCAAAGCACTACTGGCATTATTTCACATCTCTGTGACTTAGAAAGTGAGATGGAACCCTTTTGGGGCACTTACCACATGCCAAACAGTGGTATACATACATTCACCCATATGCTACTTTAGTCACTAATTTAATCCTCATAGTACCCCATGAGAGACCTATGCTTATTGCTTTGTGGATTCAGAAACCAAGGCTCAGATCGTTGACATGACTTGCCCGAGGTCATACAGACTGGACAAGGACCCAGGCCAGTCTAACATGTAATTGAAGTTGGTCCCTTCCTGGGAAATACAGAATAACTCTCTTTCCTCTTTGACATCATCTGTCATGACCCTCCTCCCCCTTGTCTTCTTTTTAACATAAACACCTTCTGTCTCTTCAGATTATTTTTAATGAATATTTCCTAGATTTGCCCTTTCCAGAGTCTTACCTTCCATTCTTCATTCGTTTCCTGATAACTGGCTTCTTTTCCAATATCTCCAGTGGAACTATCTTCCCCTAGGTCACTGATGACCAGATTGTCAAACCCAACCCTGATCAGCCCATATCCAGCCTGTGTCCATAGCATGTAGTACGAAGGCTGACCACTCTCTCTCTTCAGTTGGGCAATCTCATTCATTCCCATCGATGTACCATCTATATAATGACAACTCCCAAATCTATCTCTGCAGCCATGACCTTTCTCTTGAGCTTCAGACCCATCCATCCAACTACCTGTTAAATTTCAGATATCCCATAAGTTTCTCAAACTCCACGCACTCCAAAATGGAATCCAGCACCAACCACCACTCCACCCCAATCCTGCACTTCTCTTTATATCCCTCACCATGGTTTAATAGTGATATTGCCTTCCATATGCTCTACCAAGCTGGGAACTCGGGCACACCCTTCCCTTCACCCACTTGTCTAAATCAATCCTTCAAGTTCTATGGATTCCACTTGATGAATAGTTTTCAAAGATGACCTCTCTTCTCTCCATGCTGGTGACTA